AAGCGGCATTAGCGCAACGAAGACTTAATTAGATGCTAGGAACCCTTGTATGCTTGCTGCGAGGACAGGCAAGATTAAATTTGCTGAAGGCGCTTGCTTACTAGAAATGATAGATAATCAGGGAATTAGAGAGAAAATTTACATTCTCAGCGTTTTAATGTATTGTCGTGTATGACGCCAGTTTTACAAGTAAACCTTATTTATACATGATTTTCGGTCAAACTCAAATCCCAGTTTTATAATGTACGACTAAGCGAACATAGTGTTTCGTTAAACAAGCGAATCTGATTGGGTTTCATATATGATGTATGAGCATTTCTTACATCATAAATTTAATACTTTTGAGCGAATTTCGCGTATTACTCGAGTTGGGGGCATGCTTCAGTAATTATGTCACACAATCACTCGTACAGAAGACTATTCACATATTTCCATTTCACTAGAAAATTTTACTTGCAAGAAAGCAAGCGACTTCTTTCCATGATTGAATTTGGCAGCAAACGACGAGAAAGGAATGACGTTTTTCGGTTAAGACTTTCCAAGCTATTCTTGGTCGAAAAATTTCGGGGTTTACGGGCGCGTGTTTCAAGTTCACTCTGGGCGATGAGTTGGACGGGACTTCTTTACGAGACGTGCTCTTTAAAAACCGCGATAGCGAGAGAGCAAACCAGCTCAAGAAGAGAGTCTCGAGGATACACAGAGAAAATTATAGAATATACAAATACACACTGGCTCAATATCCGAACGTTTAAGGGAATATTTCGCATAGAATAACTATTATTAAATTTTGACAGAAAATGTAACCAAAATATTGACTAAGTTTAGCTAACCGTACGGATTTTCATGAACACAAATGATGCCGGTAGCCTCATTTCGACAACCAGAAATAACTAAGCACTGATAATTCTGGTGTAATATTACCATTTGGTCATTCACGAATACAATATGAATTAAAAATTATTTCATCAACTTATCTATTACATATATGACAATTTTTTAGATCTACCGCAATATCTCCTTATAACACTTTGAACGAGTCAAAGAACAAGCGAACATTCAACATCACTGCAATGATTTTCTGGGCACATGCAAATAGTGTTGCATGTGGTGCAGTAGTTGTGGACTTTAATGGAACGGTGACGACGCTCGCATAACGCAGGTCCGCAACCACAACGCTATATTTGATTATTCTCATCCATTTTACAAGTATTGTGTTATGGATAATTAAATGAAAAGTATTTTCAAGGCGAGCTAATGAAACTACGGTAAATTTATGTCAAGATGTACACGTAAGCTCTGACATACGAGGCAATTTTTTGCTCAAAAAATGTTCATACGATGCAATTTTTGCTCAAAAATGTTCATACAAGGCTATTTTTTGCTCAAAAATTGCTCTAAGGCAAGACCTTTGAGCAATTTTACAGCCAGGGAAAGTGAAGCTTTTTAAAGAACGTGTAAAGCTGGATTTGAATGTGGCAATAACACCCATAACGAGATATTTAGGTATATTGAAAGAAAAATATGTCAGGGATCAGTAAAAACTTTTTTGCGCCTGCATTTAATTCACCAACGATGAACATTAAAGCTATATTGGAACTTGGTGGTATTGCTGAATAACCACAATCAGGCATAAAGGGTATTAGAAGGTTTTGAATAAATTAAAGGGTTTTACTGTTAGAGGAACACTAGTGAGCACCACAAAGCTCTTTAACGCCAGTGTAAAGTGGGATTGAAATACATCTCTGACACGATGAGTTCAGAGGCACATGGTGAAAGAAACAGGCAACGGCGTCCACAAGTGTAGATTACATTGAGGCACTCATCAATGCTCAGCAGCCCGGGTATAAAAGAGGCCAGCTGCACTATGCCTACCTTCAACTGCCCACGCATACATCGCATATTTCTGTAAAAACAAGTTTGTCATGCCCATGTGAGGAGGGAAGAGGAGAGAAATGCGAGTATGCTTGTAATGTTTACAGCAAAGAAAATTTATAATCCGAAAAATTTTTGAACATAATTTACAGTGAAGACTGTAATTTATGAAGGCAGGAGACTAACTAATTTGAAGGCATGAACATTGAACATCCAATTCAACACCGTGTGTAAAATAATAGGGCTACTCTAAGCGTAAAATAAAATTGAAAGCAGTATAAGCAAAAATAGTGTGCATCAATAAGTCCTAAATCAATACCAAGCTCGCCGCAGCAAATGCATTAGCGAAACAAAACTACGTCTTCAAAATAATTAATAGTAGTTACATCTAACAGAACCTATATGGTGATTCGGTAAAATACCATTACTATTACTATATCATACCAATAGAAAGTTATTACCATATTGATACACTAAATAGTCGCAAAAATATAAATGCATGTTAACTAATAGAATTTCTACCCAAAGATTGATATTGCGGCGAAAAATATATCATGATTGTGCACACTGTGGTCGTGCATTAAATTGGAATGCTGCAACCGTACAATAACTTCATTTCTAAAAATTACAATCACGCACGTTCTATTGCGTAAAATACCTCTTAATAAATGCTACAAGTTTTGTATTTTGCATACACAGTGCACAGGGGTCAAATTTAAGTGTGAACGACGTACAATAAAATTCACTATCAAAGTTTTCTATCAAACTTAAAGTCCAAAACAAGTCACACAACTTTGCTTTTCGCAATTGAGTTCAACAATAAAACACAATGACAACTTGGGTAATTGGTCGCCTAGTAAACAACAGCCCGGAGGAAACGAGCGAGTGATGAAATAAGCGACAGCTTCTTGACTCGCTTGTTTTTATCTCGTCAACGGACGCCTTCGAGGGATTAACACGTACGCTCAGTAATGTGTGCAAAAATCTTGTGAATATCATGGAAATGTTGACTTAAGAATTGAGGTTCGTTTAACGATACTCAAGGATATCGTTCAGGTAATCTCAGGTAATCGTTTAACGATACTCACGGTTGAGACACTTTAGCCCTCGCACGTGCGTTTCGTTAGTGTTTTTTATTTTATTATATTTTTCTTGGGAGACGATGCGAGACGATTATAGCATGCCGAAAATTTTTGTTATGGCATAAACTACCTATGTCTTAACCAACGACGAAAATTGAGACAACATTTAACTTGCAGTGGAAATCCTAGACGATACCGGAAAATTTTTCTTTTAATTACGCTCGTGTTGGTTCACTTATAAAAAAAACATTCCAAGACGATCAGAGGTTTACATCTGCCGCTCGATACAAAAGTTATACATCAGAATCGACGTTGTTATCTAGCAATTCGACTCCATTTGTAACTTAACGCGGGTTAACAGCGACAATAATGAGAAATTATTGTTGACTGCTTTTAAAAAGGTGTTTGTTATGAACAACTCGACTAGAGCGACCACAGCTGTAATTTGGTTCTAACCTTATTTCAAAGCATAGATGACCATCAAAGAGCTCAAGAGGTAACATTTTGTCCATGAATAAATTAAAATCTTTGTTCACGGATACATTACCAATTTTTATGGCTTTTTGTATCAAAAGGTCTGTTAACTAGAGTACCGGTAATGAGTTTCCATCACAAAACTAAGGGTTTTACGGTATATCCAAGTAAATCCTATAACGAACAAACAATTTTCGTTCGAATTTCAAACATTTTTTGATGCCAATATTACCATGAAGATTTTCCAGAATTAAGAAAACAATAAATCTCCAGTAGATCATTCCAATTCAAGGCAATGAATGACCATCGGACCGACTAAAATTCAATAGATAATTTACATATAGCTGATGAACAGCTAACGATATTTAAGCGCCACTGCGCTCGTAGTTTAACATAAGGGGGTTAAATCATTTATACCGTCGTGTATAAAACAGCAGGTCCTTTACAAGTCAACAAGCCCAAATGGAAACGATAAATTGATGTGACATTTGATTAGGTTACAATTCCATCATTTATTAGCAAGTCACTGTCTTATAATGAAATTTTTTTCAGTCTAAGTGGTTGCAAAGGCAGCAAAAATTACAATGTTTAGTACTTAGCAAGTATTTAAATCAGACACGCAGTTTACTCTAAATTTGACCGGTTTATTGTCATATCAGTAGGGATAAATCGTCAGAATTCAACCTTTTTAAGAAGAATAAGGACAAATTTTGGAATGGTGAATCATATTTAAGGGATGTTAATATAAATGTGAATAACCTAGATCAGTAATAAATATTTCGATAACAACCAACATTGATAGCATGTCAAGTGTAACATATAGAAAAACAAATATGAGAAACTAGCTCGTTTATTCGAATGATTTATTCTAAATATTCATTGAATTTATTTTTATTTATTATTAAGTTCAGTGTTATATGTTTTAAAGGAATGTATAAATTCATAACAACAATAGCTATAAGGGTCAGAAGGAAGCCATGCCGTTTGAATAAAAAACTAGCCAATAAGTAAAATCTGCAGAGCGATTCGCACCTCTAACAATATATTAAAAACATTCAAAACACTTTCCATGCATATTTTATGGGTTAGTTTGAATGATGGATCAAATAACTAGATATCTGAACTGTTTTTGCTTCTCGAATAATATCTTGCACAAGTTTATTTGATGCTAGCAGGTTGACTCGGTGATGCCTGGGATAAATAATCTTCGCGACTTGAAAATCCAGTTAGCCTGAATTCTAAATTTAGGATATTCCGAACACGAACATCCCGAATTCCGCTTCTCTTTAATAATTTTTAACCTTACGAATGTTATTCAAATAATCACCCGTTTCAACCAACATCTAACCAATGTGAAATCACACTTAAAAATTCGATAAAAATTTACATTTTTCCCCATTGAATTATTTATTATTGTTTCATTCAAAATAAAATCTCGGGTCCAGGTATCTAATATTCTGACACGAAAGGTTTTGTCATATCACTCGAACAGCCCCTATATATTGACGGCGCCAAGCTTCAAACACAACATTTTGATGTACATATATATTATATATAAGATTAAATACTCACCAGCTGTTTGTACAGGCTTCCATTAAGCGTCTTCTACGAGGTTATTAAGCGTCTCCCATGAGGTTATCCATTGCTGTTCTTTTTGGCATACAGACTCATGTCATTCCCATGAGGACTCACTAGCAGTTCACTTTATTACCACACTCTGTTAACCGAAACAAAATATAAGAGAATTAGTACAATCATAAAACCATTCAATTAAAAACTTGATTTATGCATAGGAAAATTCTAGGTACGAGACGTGAATTGCAAGCAAGTGTTGAGGGCATTCAGAACACATCTGTTCAATATACCGCATAAATAAATAAAAAATCGTGTTTCAAAGCACAGCTTCGCGTTTCTTGAAACGAGCAAGTAGAAAAAATCAAATTAGCATGATTGATAAAATGGAATGCTAGCACAATTTGTCTAGAATCAAACCATGCGTCAGTCAGATCGAGGTCTTCCTGAGGCCACTATTTACTACTTCAATTTTATAAACCATCGCTAATTAGACGGGAGAATCCTAAATCCAAGAGCACTGTTTAATATATACTATGCTTTCAGAGGATAATACGTTTTCTAAATTCCCCAAAGGATTTTTAGCATAAAATATTTTTCTTTGTTTCGTTAAGTTTCACCTCTGCACAAGTTTTTTTTTCTCGTAACTATTACAACTCTGGATCTGGTTTCACTTCCAGAGTTCGATAGAGTACAAATAAAAAATATACTGTCATTTAAATGAAGATTCATTTTTGGATATCATTCTTTTATTCAGTACTTAGATTAGCAGGATTATTTCATTGCCAAGCGGGAGTTGTGCGCTGGACAGACAAACTAGGAATTCATTAGCTTTTTCGCCAAGCCTTCTTCCTGCTGTAGAGCCCCACAATATAAGAGCTCAGCGTCCGGCCGTAATTACCGTCGCTCCGACGTCGATTAAGCAGCACTGCTGGAAGCCCATCCACGTCCCATCACCATCAAACCCATGAATATAAGCACATAAATACCGAGAAAATAAGGTGCGTCCGGAAATTCTTGCGTTTGGCATAGCAAAAAAATGCCACCACTCGCATACAAGAAAATATTAGATAAAAATATTAAAGTGCAATAGCACCCAAAAGTTGAATACATCCAGAGCATAATGCTAAAAAATATAGATAGATCTCAGAATAACAAACGAGCGATTATTCTTCAACACGCTCAAACTGCCTGTCATGTTCAGACGACAGACGCAGAGTTGAGTCTCCAATGTTTTTTTTTTTAATTTCCTACCTTTCTGTGAAAAACGAATTGGCCACACGTTCACCATAACTCAGTTCTAGCAAGATTCAAAGAAAGCATCCGATTCAAATTTCTGGCGCAAATCAAAGCCAGCGAATGCTAACAATGCCTCCATAATAAATCTGAAATGTCGATTTCGAACAAGCCTGGGCATCATTTACTTCCGAATCGAGAGCGCTTTGGGACATTTTTGCCGAATCATAAATTTGAAATCGTTTCGTGGCAGCATTTTAACGACAAACTTTTGTAGCGGGATTGCGTGCCGCCCACACATAACGAGGCTCGAAAAATTCAATCTGAAGAAGAGGCTTAGGTCTGAGCTACTTGTAAATAAATTGCAATCCAGGTTGACAAATGGACCTTATAGATCCTTACGTAAATTCTATTCGGTAAGATTTTTATACCACTTATTTCATATGCACTAAAATTATTTCAAATATTTTTTGCCCATAATATATACTGAAAACTTTCACAATTACACCACAAATGCTGCAGCGGACGGGGGAGAACTTAACAGCTGTTGATTGGCGAATTTAGTTTAAAAATCAGAAAATGCGGTACACCTTTTGATCACGCGTGTCAATATTTCCGGGATGTAAATGTTTTCCGCAATGAATGGAATCAATAAGCACATATGCCATCACCGACACCTGAAACAAACACAAACACCTGCCGCTGCCAATAATGCTGTCCATTTATTGAGACATCAACCAATTTTACGGAAAACTACGAGCAATCACAAGAGTTGGAATAAATTAAGTTGCAAATCATTTTGGATGGAAAAGTGAACATTCAGTGAAGGATGCGTCAAATAAAGCGCAATTACAAGATGATCTTGACAGTTTAGTTAACTGGGCTGATACGTGGCAGCTGCGGTTTAATGCTAACAAGTGTAAAGTACTTCACCTCGGGAAGAACAATGAACAGCAAGATTACAGTATGAGAAGACATGGCTGCAACGAGAGAGCAATGATTGAAAAGTCTAGTGTGGAAAAAGATCTCATGAAACAAGAACCAACACCAGGGGCCACGGCTATAAGCTAAAAAAACTGCGCTGCAACTTCTCCACGCGACAAAATTTCTTCTCGCTTCGAATCACCGACATGTGCAACAGCCTCTCCGATGACATCGTTGGCGCTCCAAGTATGAACGCGTTCAAGAACAGACTAGATAAAGCTATGGAAAAATATATGCTCAAATTTGAAATGCCTAGCTCCTTATCGAACCCGGTGGAAGTCTAGTAGCTACTTCAAACTATCGTCAGTCATGAAAATATCCGGTCAAATGACATGATTGTATATCTTCTGTGAACAAGGCACGAAAAGGAAAAGAATCGGCGACAGGCCACATCAGGCCTACGCTTCAGCGCCGAGATCACTATGTTATGCTATGTTATAATTGCACCAATACAAATAACAATAAAGCTGACGCCTTGATCGCTTATGATCAATACACATTATGCATGACCCAGAAAGCTCCGCATAATAAATAATTACATGGTTGCCGATGCTCAACGAGATGGAGCGAGCAGGAAACATTCGCATAAGCGGCATGCGAGTCGCGCACGTTGCTTTCAGAAGACTAAGCTTTATTACAAAATGCATATGTTACTAGGGCATTCAACCTCAATCCTAACTAGATAGAATTGATAAAAATAATTACCCGTACATTATTTATGCCCACTTAAATTATTACATCCATTTCCGTACAGATCGAACTCAAAAGTACAGAACTATTCCTCAGTAAAAGAAAAGAGAAAATATTTAAAACTGAAAGTTTCCTCAAAACTGAAAAAATCGGCTTAGCTGGACAAATTTTACATTTCAGCTTTGCTAGAAAGAAGCATCCATTCGCACGTGCTTTCGTCAAGTAAAGATGAATTTTGTGCATAGCAATGTTTCACTTGTTTAACACAAATAAATAATCTACTGAGAAATGAAGATGGCGAGAATTATTCAAATGAAATGGTAAAAAAACGGATTCGGTCTGGTAACAGATTCGGCGAGACGAAGCTGTCGCTGTTTAATTAAAAAAATGCTTTTGTATTTCAGAGTTTGCCGATTCAGAGATACATGTAGATTCATCAGCGGTAGTTGAATGGTCGGCGATCGATCCCTGTCACGATGGAGAAATTTCTGACGAGGAAATTGGTATGTAATTTACAACAACGGTTTTCATCACGGTTAAATACGAATTGGAACACCACATAAAAATTCCTAGGGGTTCGAAACATACAAAATAAAAACTATTTTATCTCGATTCGCCAATAGTTGGATGTAAGACTATACGTGACAAAAAGTAAGTAACTTCGATGATAAGTTCTCGAACAGAAATTCCCAAACTGGAATAATTAAATACCCCTTAACTCAGACGTAACTCGCATTAAATTTTACATTCGTAAATTAAAATTAATATCCAGTAAAAACAACCCAAAAACGTAGCATGTAATCTAAGAAGTTAGTATAACAGCAAATAATCGTGCACCAGAAATGTAAATTCAATGACATATTTCGGCAGTCGTTTCAAGCATTGCCACATATGTTTTCCTGTTTTCACTTCAAGCACTCACTTATGTTTTCCTATATCAAGTCCAGGGCACCATAATTTCCTTGTGTTAGTCCCATGCAACCTTATAGAATTTCTGCCTGACTGCTAAACTGGAAGTTCCGAACTACAGCTAATTCTAAAGCTTATAGCCTTTAGCGGACTTTAGATTTCAAAGGCACGAAGGCTGGCCCAGTCAAAAGCCAGGTTTTCATTGAAGATGTAACCAATCATAATACTCTTAAAATTAAAAGAATAAACGATCATAATAATATTTAACCTGAATATTTTATAATATTTAAACTGAAAGGTAAGCTGCTTAATTTTTATGTTGAATGTCCGAACATAAATAAAGACATGAAGCTTTGATTTGCTCTGTGACAGCTGAATGTTCACGTAAAAAGATTTAATCCATTCATTTTCCGCTGATTAGACGTAAAGAAATGACGGACGCTTTCATTACTCTGTGTTCGCACCTACAAAAGAACTTCGATACAATGCACTGCCCTCAATGAGAAGATTAAATTGTTAATTAATGTTAGATACTACGATTAAGGCTTGGTACCCTTTTAAAAAGTCTCGAGTTGGAATGTATACCTAACATACAATGGACTCAAATGGCCTCGAAACAAAATATTCAAGAGGAGATAAGGAACGTTCTATTACACGCGATAAAGAACGCGCTAAAAATAAGTCGTTGAAAATTAATTGGTGTAACTTCAAGCGTAAGTTATAAGTTTTTGTCTATGCGAATATCGTAACTGAACGACGAACTATCTAGCAAAATGAGGACAGGAAACACAAAAATTCTCAAGAAAGACGTAAACCCAGGCGGCAGCGCGTCTAAATAATGATCGCCAAGTAAACTTGCGTGAAAAATAAATTATTGATGCACGTATCATCGCATGTAACAAATGAAGTACGTGCGTCAGAAACCGTGAACATGCTCTATTCTATTGCAGCGAGCACACCGAGAGAAAATCATTAGCTTCTATGTTGTCAGATTTACTGACGCCACGACAGGTTCAAGCAAACGAACGCATGTCTAGAAATGAATCGATGGTGTACTTAGAGCGCTAGCAGTCCAGTTGCACGCTAAGCTGCAATTCTAATGTCCAATCAGTTGTCCCCCGGCACTGTGTAGTCCTTATCTAAGGAACTTTGTCTGAGATTAGCTACCACTCATAATTCTTATACAAGTTGAAATTAGTTTCAAGTAAATCTTTAATTCAAAGTAGCGAATTTGACTGAATTCTGTACGGAAGTGGTATTCTCAAGAATAATCAAGAGCTGGGAAGGCGAGCTTACTTCAGAGTTCAGACGGAAATCTCTCGTGTAAGATTATCGTTAGCCTTTTAATC